GGCACTCTGTCTCCTTCTCTTGCAATACGCTGAATCCCCCCTCATCTCCCGTCCAACAACAGACCTCGCATCCGTGCAATCGTTTTCTACTCCCCCCTAGTCATGGTGTTTGCTTCCAGGTCGGTCTTTTCATCCTAGCTTTGTTGACGTGGACAACCCCCCCCCCCCCCCACTGCTTTGCTTGTTGTCTCGTCAAGTAAACAAAGTCCCGCGGGGATCTACACCCAAAATGCCGCCCTCTATGTCCGCCCCAGCACCCGACAACCGCGCCGCCTCGCCGACACCGTCACAGCTGCCGCCAGTGCCAGGATCACCAAGCTTCTCTCTTGCGTCGACGGCGAATCCTCTTTCTGCCTACAACCTGCCGCTGCCGCCACCTCCGAGGCCGTCCCATGCCGTGCTGTCCAAGGCCGACCTCGATGCCTCCCAAACCGCGTATGCCGACCTCCTAGCGACGGCCAAATCCTACCGCCTCGCCCTCGCTTCCTTGTCGACTGCCGCCTCTGCCTTTGGCTCGGCGCTCGAGTCCTGCGCCCGCCTCAAAGAAGCCCGTGCCGAACCCCTCTGCCCGACACCCCAGGGCGCCTCCCTCTCCAACTCGTTCCACGCCGCCGCCTCCTCGGCCTGCACCGCCGACACGCTGCTCTCCGCCTCCGGCGTCCACCATCTCGTCGCTAACCACCACCATATCCTCTCGGAGACTGTCTACCGCAGCTTCGAGGTGCCCCTCCTCCACGAGCTCGACAAGTGGCGTCAGGTCGTCGAGGACGAAGACGAGAGCTACGCCGCCAACATCCGCGACAAGAGCAAGGAAATCCGCCGCCTCGAGAAGGAGGGACTCAAGCTCCATCGCCAGCGTCGACGCGACGTCAACGGCTTCCGCGCCCACCTTGTCGACCTCACCACCAAGCTCGACGGTCTGACCTCTCTCCACGGCGATCACGCTCGCACGCTGCTGCGGGAATCCCAGGACACGAGCGGCAAGATCGTCGATGCCAGTTGCTCGCTCGTGCGCGCCGAGGTGGACATTTTCGAGTCACTCGCTCGAAAGGGCTGGACCGGCGGCGGTCTCGAAGATTTGCTCGAACGCGGCCGTGACTTGTTTGCGAGCGAAGCACAGGATGATGGCGGCATTGGCGGCGGCGGCGGCGGCGGGTCATCGGCGGACCCTGCCAAGCTCTTCAGCATCCTGCCGCCGCGGAGCATCCTTGCTGACGCCTCAGGGGGCGACGCGGCGCGAACAACGGCGGCGGGTGGTGGAGGCCACGGCCGGAGCGACAGCCTGCTTGTGGACGATGCAGAGCGCTATCAGAGCCTGATCGGGGCCGCGACGGTGTCGCCCGGCGGCGACGAGGCCGAAACGGCCAGCGTCTTCTCGAATTCCGGCTTCAACCGGCCGAGGGGGGCCCGACCGTTCAGTCCCCAGCCTATCCGTCGCGACCCTACCAATGTGACTTACGATGATACACTGGGCGTCGTCGGCATGGCAGATGCGGGTCTCGGCCATCTTGTCGTCCAGAGGCTCGAGGCTGCCGTGGAAGAAGAGCACGACGAGGAACACGAGGAACACGAGGAGCACGACGACGAGGAGCTACGGAGAGACGGTGCGCCTGCAAGAGAGACTCATGCGAGCGAAGACATGGCGGAGAGTGGCGGAGTCCAAGCCGCGGAGACGCTAGAGGATGGAGTCAAGGATGACGACGGTGAGCGAGGGCGCGCCAGGCGATGGAGCGTCAACTCGGATGAGAGAAGCGAGTAAGAAATCGGGCACAGAGAGAGAGAGAGAGAGAGAGGACGGTGGATGCATATTTGCAGTGTGGCTTTCATTAGTTTTTATACCCCCCCGGCCCAAAGACATTTATCTAGAGACGTCCGTTCACGGACGTGATCCCCACCACCCGCAAGGGCGAGGAGGGTATTTTGTACAGCCTTTTCATACATGATTTGCCTCTTTCCCCCGGGGCGTGCGTGCCTCCTCTGCTGTGTGTTTGCAAACAACCCCGCATCTTGAAACGCCCTGCTGCGTGTCCCGGGGGAAAAAAAGGGGGCAGCGCTAACGCCGCCGTATGTCGTTTGCGAAAGTGTCGCCCAGTCCGAAGAGAAGACAAAAACCTGCCCCGTCTTCCAAGGCCTTCTCGCTACCCCTTCCGTCCGTCCTTCCTGCCAAGATTTGAGCCACCCACATCAGTCATCCTTGTCCACGGCGCTGACAATCTCGCCGCCAAAGAGGCCAAACGTGGCGTCGAGCCACCAGATGAACTTCCAGTAGAGGCTCGCGCGGTCATAGTCAAAGTCGCCGTCGTCCCTGCGCGGGACCTCGTTGCCGATCATGGCGCCGAAGCCGCCGACGAACCACATGAGAAAGGGCACGGCGGCGAGGAGCTTGGCGGTGAAGCTCTGCGACGGCAGGATGGCCTGCTCGACGGGCTTCAGCGTCACCTTGCGGGCCGTCGGGATGTGGGTGCAGAAGAGGGCGTCCTTGGGGTCGATGGTGGCGGCGGCGGCGGCGGCGGCGGAGCCCGAGGACGAGGCGGCCGGTGTCGTCGTTGTCGTCGTCAGGGGCAGGGTGCCTGAGGAGGCCGTGGCGGAGCGCTGGGAGAGGGTGGCCGTGTCGAGGGTCTGGGAGGAGGCGTGGGAGCCCGGCGGCGAGAGGTCGCTGTGGGTGCGCTGGGGGGCGCCGGGGCGGCGGCGGGCGCTCGTGCCAAAGGCGCCGAAGCCGGGGCCGGGCACGGACTGGGAGCGGTGGTGCTCGTCGATCGAGGCGACGAGGCTGTCGGCGTCGAGGATGGCCTCGTCCTTGTGTGGCGGGAAGCCGCGGTAGAGCTCGGCAAAGACCTGGCAGCCCTGGATGGTCTGGGGGCTCGAGAAGAGGGCGGCGTCGGCAGCCTCGAGGCTCTCAAAGGTGACCTTGACCCAGTGCTCGCCGCCATCGGCCCTGTTGACCTTGGCGCGCTCCTCGGGCGTCAGCGCGCGGCGGCGCGTGAAGGCCGGGTCTCGGAGGTCGCCCTTGTAGCGGCGCTGCTCAGGGGGCGGCTCGCGGGGGTAGTCCTCGCAGATGAGGCCGGCGAGGTGCTCGTAGTGGTTGATGGCGGCGTACTGCTGGGCGGAGGAGCGGTAGCCGCGGAGGATGACTTCTGTGGGCTCTGACTTGAGCAGGCGCTGGGTCGAGGATGCGCCCGAGGCGGCGGCGGCGTCGTCTTGTTGGAGGTGCTGGCTGCTCGTTTTGCGCTGCGGCGCGTTGCCCAGCAGGTTGCCGGCGGGTGCAGATGTGTTGGCGCTGGTATTTGCCGCAGCATTGTTGGAGACCCAGCTGCCGAAGAGCTTGTCGGCGGCAGCGAGGGTCGGGTTCTCGCGGCGCGCGGGCGTGCCTGTTCGAGAGCGAGAGCGTCGTGTGGAGCGGCCAAAGGAGCCAGTTTCTGCGACGCCTCGTCGGGATCGGACGCCAGGAAGGCCATCTTGTCTGTGGAGGGGGAGGTAGCAGATATCAGTCACATGTTGCATCCTAGAAGACGCACTGGTGGGCAATGAAAACATACTGTGGGAAGACCATGGCATATGGCCTCTTCACGCCATCATCGCCAACATAGAGCTCGTCGTCGGGAACATTGTGCAGGATGAGGGGCGCCATTGAGGGCGAGCGCAGTCAAGGCCGACACTCGGATTTGGTTGCTCTGATTTGGTTGCTCTGAATCGACTTGTGCAAGGGGTCCGTTGATGAGGACGAGTCAATGTTGGTGTGTTTCTTGTTGGGGGTGTGTATGGTGTTGGATGCTGTGCCTGTAATTTCTTTGTAGGCCTTAGCTTTAGCTTCACTGAGGCGCCTTCTGCTCGTGCTTCTTTCAGGCAATAAAGTCAGGGACGAGGAGCTGGCACAAAATAGTGGGTCGGGTCGCGATGGGCGACCAGACATTGCCATGTGTTTGCTGACTAAGGGCTCTCTCTACTGGACACACCCATGCGCCTGTCTGCATCACGTGAACCAAGATGCTTCCTTCCCTTTTCTATAGTTCAACCTGAATCCACGAGGACAAAGTTCCCAGTAAGATATCCCGTGCTGCCATCAATCATCTCATGTCCTAGTGGTCGACGCCGAAAAACTGCAACCTGCCATCTGTCAGTACACCAGTCCTTGGCAACTGTGCAACCCAGTTGAGAACGCACCAATCGCTTACTTCTCGGCCGATGAGCAGTGGAGGTAGGTCAGGATACTGCCTGTTTGCTTCCACTGTATCAATGGCCGCCGCCGCCGCCGCCGCCAGGCCATCCTGAACATGCCTTTCATCGTGTGGCTCCGCGCCCATCATGTCCCCCACGAAAGAAAGCAAGGGCGTGTTGGAATGCGACACGCGTTTGCCAGACTCCCAACTCTCAGCGACACTTCTCAGCATCGAGTTTACCAACCCACCCAACGGCCATGTTCTCGATATCTCAAGCAGCGCAGACCAGTAGTCTCGGGGTTTGCTGTGCACGGCCTGCGGCGAGGTCGACGAGATGAACAAGTCCTGGTACCGATGGATGACAAACGCTGTGAGCAAGCTATAGATGATGAACGACGGGCATCGTCGGAGCTGGCCGTGTGTCGAAAACCCCTGAATGATGCCCGTGATCATGGCTGCCGCCTCGACAGCCGCCCTGCGCGACGGCACAAGCGCCGCCGGGAACTGGTCACGGACGGCCGACAGCCGACTCCTGTGCAGCAGGCACAACGTCGTGTAATACTTTGAATGCAGGACAGCTGCCCAAAAGTGATCCCGCTCTGGGCTATCAAGGCTGACGATGGCCGGACATTCTCCGTGCCAGCGCGCTAGAGCTGACTCGTGGAACAGGACGTCATCCATGTCCAGTTCCTTGAAGCGAGTCTGCGCCCACATCGAGCATTGCCGCGACAGGATCTCGCCCAGGATCTCGCAGAGTGCTACGTATCGAAGAAAGAACTGCACGTGCGCTGGATTCGGCGGCACTTTGCTGGCACGACCCGGCTCATCCTCGTTGAAGTCCTCGTCACGGATCATCTCAACGTCCGAGTCGGCGAGGTTGATGAGCATCGGCCGGCCTAGCGTAAGGGCCAGGAGCCGGTCACGCGTGAAGAGGGTCCACCAAATGCGCTTCCAGAGCCTCTTGTCGGTGGTACTGAGGAGAGACCGCGCGACGGAACGGTGCATCCCCGTCCCCTGGGCTACAATAATGGCGGCACGCGTCCAGTCAAATGTCTCTTCAAGGACGTCCTCCCGGCCGCCCCAGTACCACCCTATCAAGATCATGGACTGGATGATGGCGACGCGGTCGGTCTCGTGATTTGCGTCGTAAAACGCCTTGGCTCGCTTGTAAAAGGTCAAGGCCATGGTTTTCGTCGAACCGTCGGCATCCCGCAGCGTCATGTTGTCACAGACGTGCGTGCTCGCAAGGAATATGGACTGGAGTAAGAGCATGGATGGGGGGGCCAGCGGGTCTCGGTACTGTCGCCTGAAGTGCGTCTGGTTGATGATGGGCACGACAGGGTGTATCCACGCAAAATAAGAGTCGATGAGTTCATCGCAGATCTGCCGCGGTGGTATAAGGAAGGCACCCCTCTGCTGCAAGACACGGTTCTCAATGTCGTGAGGATCTTTGCTTGGCCCTGCTGCAGGCCGAGGCATCGGGTAATGCACTGCACCCTGCAAGCTCTGACGGGTAAGCAGAGATACGCCGGAGGACTCCCCAAGGAAGGCCACTCGTCCGGCGTCGGTGATGGCCGCACAATCTGACTTCGGCTGCAGGATGAGATTGACGTAACTATCGACCGCCATAGCGACAGGGTCCCCATGTTTTTGTGAGGTTGCGTCTCCAAGCCCCAGGCCAGGAGTGTGACAGCCACGAGAAGGCGGTGTCGAGACCTGTATCTGAAGGGCTCGTTGAGTGTTTAGTTGTTGTGCAGGCTGTTTTGAGCCCTGCATTTGGCAATCTATTTTGAAGGCCACACAATTGGTGCAGGGCACACCTCGACTCACGGCATCGCATCGAACCTGAGAAGTCAGCCCAGAACCACACTGCTGCTACGCCGGCCATCCAAGGTAGGTAAGGTAGGTGAGTAGAGGGCATGCAGTGTGGGGCGGTGAGTAGGAGGCGTGCGTAAAGGGGCTTCAGTTGTGTTGTGTGGGAAGCTTTACCTTCCTATATCGACAAGTCTGATTGTCAGACTGTCAGCTTCTGATGGATTTTGTGCACGATTGGCGTGCGAGGGAGACAGTAGCTGAGAGCAGCGCAATACCCTCAAGTTGGACATACCTGACATGCACGAGACGCTCGCCAGCTGCGTGGGGACCTGTGTGAGAAAGATGTGCCTGCCGATGAATGGCTGCCCTGGTATGGTCTCTCACCTCCTTTCCTTCCGAGCACGAAACACGGATCGCATGTCGTTGGGCGGCGAATCCTCTGAGGTTTGGATGACCAGAGCAGATTGCCGACTGCTGATGAATTCTGTCAGGACCCGGCATGTCTTTGTTCTGTTTGGATTGCCGTCAGGGGGATGAGAGGCAGTTGTCAGTCGCAGCTGCCTTCGAAGTTGAGGTCTGGCAACTGGTCGTCCGTGTCGCACCTGCCGATCCCGTACCTTCCGAGAATACCTGAGCGTTCCTGCTCCACCCGGGATGGGAGATGTGCCGTCATCAGCAGGAAGCTGCAGCCAGCCCACAGCCGAAGGTGCGGAGGCTCGGCACCATTTTGTCCCTAGGTCTGTTCGGTCTGTCGATAAACCATCATGGCTAAACCCAACAGGCCATGGTCGCTCAGCCGTACACGACGCTAGACCTCACACGATTAGCCAACTGGCCATGCACTCAACGGCCTCGGGTTCTACGACAGGGTGTGAGCCGCGGACTGGAGCATCGGTGGTCGATCTCGAGCAACGCGGGGGCTAGGGGCTTGGCAAGTGCGGGGCCCCTTGCTGCCTTTCTTGGGCCTCGGAAACCACCCGCATGGAACTGTCTCTGACTGGCGAGACGCACAGGTTGGGGGCACAACGCCCAGCTCGTTCGTTGCTTTTCCCTTGAATACTGAGGGCGGATAGGGGGAAATCAAACAATGTCTGACTGTCATTACAATTCCATGGCGTTCGTGCTCCCAGTGCTATAAGACGTCATGCGTTCAGCGAGATGATTTAAAGAAATAGTCTCCATCAGGTCAGATCTGCCCTCAGAGCATCTCTCAGCTTTTGAATTTCACCCGGGGCCATCATGAAGCTCTCCGGACTTTGGAGTTGCGCCTTGCCCGGGTTGGCACTCGCTGGCCTCGCATCACGCAGCGCACAATACGGTCCAAGCGTAACATTGGGCCAGGGCACCCTCGTCGGTATCACGACTCAGATCGCATATGCCGACGCCAAGGTCAACAAGTTTCTTGGAGTACCCTTTGCCATTTCGCCGCCGAGGAGATTCGAACCGCCTGAGCCTGTGCCGTCGTCTTCGAAGACGTTGAGCACGACCCAGTGGAGCGCAAAGTGTATTGAGCATGCGGGTGAGTCTCCTCGCCAGAGCTCCATGTCATGATGACTGACCTCGACGTTGCCAGACCCTAGTATACTCGTTGATGACGCAGAAGAGAGCGAAGATTGCCTCTATCTCAACGTCTATGTTCCGGATACGCCGACCCAAGACAAGGCTGTGCTATTTTGGATCTACGGAGGTAGTCTCAAGTTCGGCAATGCGGGCCAGCCTGCCTACGACGGCTCCTTCTTCGCAGCCTATGAGGATGTCATTGTGGTAGCTGCAAACTACAGAACTAATGGTTCGTGGGCGTTTCTCTTGTCTCTGCCTCACGACTGATGACGTTACAGTGTTTGGCTTCTCCAACTCACCAGAGATTGATGTTGGGGACAACAATGTCGGCTTTATGGACCAGCGGCTTAGCTTAGACTGGGTGCAGCGGAATATCCGGGCCTTTGGAGGCGATCCTGACAAGGTGACAATTTTTGGCGAGAGCTCAGGGGCCTCTTCCGTCGACAGGCTCGTCACATCGCCACCACACCCTCTGCCCTACCGAGCCGCTATTCTCCAGAGCGGGCAGGCCAGTGTCAGTCCGGCCCCACCCGGTAACGGCGAGGTGAGCTGGGAGAATCTTGTCAACGCTCTCGGCTGCAACAAAGCCTACAGCGAACTGGCCTGTGTCCAGGCAGCCGACCCTTTCAAGATCAAAGCCATTGTCAGAAATCTTTCTCTACCGTTCCCTCCCATCAACGATGGCGTCACGCAGAAGCCCACGCCGCTCTTGAAGGCACGGGAATCCGGCGAGGCGGCCCCCGTACCTATACTGTTGGGCTCAAACGGCCTTGAAGGATCCCTCTTCGTGCAGCCGTTCGTGAAACAGCTGCGCGACCTCCCAAGCGACGCGGCCGCAATCGGCCTTGTCGAAGAGGCTCTGGGGAATGTACTAGGGTCGGTACTCAATAGATTCCTTGCTCCTGTGTCTCGAGGAGTGACACTGGTTCTATTCAACCTTCTGTCGAGAGCTCTCACAGATGTGCTGTATACTTGTGTAAGTTGACAAACCACAGCCTCGACCAAGCCCGCCGCCAGCCATTGGCGCATCTCCCTCCTCCCGCCCTCCCTTTACCCATATGGAGAATCCATCAAGCTGACATGGCAGACTACTCCAGCCCGCGGCTCTCGTGACAAAAGCGTCCGTCAGAGCTGACAACCCTACCTGGCGATACTACTTCAATGCTACGTTTCCAAACACCCAAGCCCCTCTCGTGCTCCCGGAATACGGCATCGACAACATCGGCGCGTATCACGCTTCGGAAATCCCCATCGTGTTCGGAACGTATGGCATATACGACAAGAACGCCCCCTCGACGGAGGAACAGAAGGCGTTGAGCCGGTACATGCTGCGGTCATGGGCCAGCTTCGCCAAAAACCCTGACGGCGGCCCCGGCTGGACACGAGCGACGGACAGGAAGCAGAGCACAGTCGGGTGCCTCGGCTGTTATGAGAACCCAGTGGGCGTGGCCGAGATCAGCAGCACCAGGACGGACGGGGCCTGTGGGCTGCTGAACATGGTATACACGGCGAGGGAGCCGCTGTTTTAGGGCCGGAGCTCACAGAGACCACTTGACTATGAATGTCATGCTGTGTCTCGTACTTGGTGTCGATTATGCGTCCGGAGCCGACGTCTTGGTGCTTCCTTGCGCTGTACATGGGTGTTATTACGAAGAAGATATAACCTCTGGGAACTCGTCACTCGAAATCCCAGGACTTACATACGATTTTATAATGCAGTGTTAATTCTTGAGCGTAGCGAACTACTTTCGGCAGAGGGTGTCAGGAGGATTTTTCATCATGGTTTTACTAGATACTGTACACACGAATTCAATTCATTTCGCTAGTTATTCACCCCAGTCTGACTGACTTGATTTCTAGCCATGGAAAAAGACTGTTGTGGCCTATGTGGTCACATTCACATAAACATGTGATCTCAGCGTCCGTTGCTGAGATGGCACGGATCCTCTCGCAGGTATCCCAGTGAACACGGCGTCTTTCCAGCGTCACTCGCCAATCGCACATGCAGCCCGATCCCTAAGATGATGCAGTGCAGGCGCTGGCCCGAGACGTGGGTCACCGTCAGCCGAGGAAGTTCTTCAGGTTGCCGCCAATGTTCTTGAGGTCGAGCAGGAACGTGTCGTGGCCGAACATGCTCATCTCCTCGCTGAGCTCGTAGTGGGCGACGTTGCGGTTGCCGGCGAGCTTCAGCGCCTCGGCCACCTCGCGCTGCTGCCAGGCAGGGAAGAGGATGTCGCTGGCGACGCCCATGACGAGCGTCGGCGTGTCGCGCAGCGTGGCGAGGCCGGCGATGAGGTCCTCGGGCGGTCGCGAGGAGACCTCGGCGTGCTCGGTGGCGGCGTCGGCGGCGCCGCCCGAGGAGGAAGAAGAAGAAGACGAAGACGACTCGGGCTGCTCCTCGTACGGCTTCTCGGGCAGCGTCAGGCTGCAGGCCATGTCTGTGGCGGCCGGGGCGATGCCGGAGGCGAGGTCCCTCTCGCGGGCGGCGCGGCGGGCCCGGGTTGCGCGCTGGTTGTCGCGGCCGAGGTCGAAGAGGTCCATGGCCTTGCTGACGTAGAGAAGGCTGTTGGGGTCGTAGGTCAGGCAGAACTTTTCGCCGGCGTGGTCGAGGTAGGTCTCGACGAGAAAGTCGGGGCACAGGGCCGGGGGCTTGCTGGGGTCGGCCCTCCGGCGGCCGAAGCGCTGCTCCCACTCGGGGCCAGAGCGGTAGGTGACTGTGGCGATGCCGCGGGCGAGCTTCATGCCGGCGTGGGGCGGCAGGTCGCCGTAGTAGTAGCCGCGCTTCCAGTTGGGGTCCATCATGAGGACCTGACGCTGGGTGTGGCGCATGGCGATGCTGTAGGGGTGGCTCCGCGCGCAGCCGCTGATGGAGACGATGCGACGGACGCGGTCGGGGAAGAGGACGCCGGCGGCGAGGGACTGCATGCCGCCCATGCTGGAGCCGACGCTCGCGTAGAGGCTCTTGACGCCGAGGCTGTCGAGGAGGCGGAACTGGGCGCGCACCATGTCCTCCATGGTCAGGATGGGGAAGCGCGTGGCGTAGTGCTGGCCGTCGGCGGGGTCGGTGCTGCTGGGGCCCGTCGAGCCGTAGCAGCCGCCGATGACGTTTGTGCAGATGACGTGGTACTTGTCCGTGTCGAGGGGGCCGCCGGGGCCGATGAACTTCTCCCACCAGCCCGGCGCCGGGTTGGCCTCGGTCGAGTGGGCGTGGGAGGAGGCCGAAAGGCCTGTGTGTAGGAGGATGACGTTGGACTTGTCGGCGTTCATCTCGCCCCACGTCTCGTAGGCAATCTTGAATTCGGGCAGCATGCCGCCCCAGTCGAGGACAAGAGGCTCCTGGCAGTGATATGTCTGCGTCGCACCAGATGTGTAGGAGGGTTCGGGCCCGCTCGACTCAAAGCTCGCTCGCAGGGTCGCGGACCGGGTCTCTAGGGCGTCGAGGCAGGGAAAGGCCATGGCCGGGTTCGAAGCTTCGCCGGCGGCGGCCTTCGGGGGTTTCGAGGTGAAGCATCGCGCATGCTGGGCGGGCTGGCGAAGGTTCAAGGTCGCAGGTCGCGAGGTCGTCACGACGGCCCTCGATGTCGACTGGAGAGAAGAACGCAGCGGGCGAATGGCCAAGGGGACGAGTTTCTGAAGCGTCATGACGGTGCCTTGTGTGTTGGATGGACGCAGAAATCAAAGAGGTCTAGCCAACACATGTAAAAGAAAAAGGCCTATCCGGCCGGTTTGTCAGCGCAGTTCATCTTTCCAAGACGAGCATCGCGCGGGATGCCTTTTGGAGCTGAGGTTCAGATTCCGCCGCTGAGAGAAAGCGAGCTCGGAGCTTTTGGCCGATGATGCTATTTCACGTGACGATAAGGAAGAGGCGACGCAGAGGCAGGTGCTTATCGCTGCTCTTGCCTCTTCAAGTGCTGCTGACGTCATCCAGAGACCCTGAGACGGGTGGTCCCTGCCGCGTCTTTCTGCCCCGCATTTGTGCCGACTGAGATGAGTAAGAGCAAGAGCAAGTGCAGCAATGTCACACGCATGACTGAGTGTGACTGAGGGGTGAATATACGGCTGCCTCCAGAAGCTCACCTCTCAGCATCCTTACTTCCTAAACATTCTTGCTCTCTCTCAGCTTCATCTTGGTCATCTTGGCCACTTCCCACACTTCCATGTTCATTCTCGCTGCGTATCCTACGCTGCTCGCCATCCTCATCGGCACCGCTACCGTATTCCACTTTACTCACACCGGCAACCACTTCGCCCATACGCCAGGCAGACGCTGTCGTCCCCAGAGACGCTGTGCCTACTGCACCCGGGTCCTCGTCGCCCGCCAGTTCATGCAATCCACCCACATTGACAGCCTCTTCCAGGGCACCCTCGGCCTCGGCATGTCTGAAGCGTCCTATGAGAACGAGCTGGCCCCTGTGTCAGGCCACCCCGAGGCCATTGATGTCATGGTCGTCAAGGCTCTCCTCATCAAGGCCACCAACTTCCCCCCCGAGATCATCGACTTGATCATCGACCACGCCGAGTACTGGCCCTGCTCCGAGACGGTCATGGACTACACCGGCCAGAACAAGGTGCGCATCTCCGCCGGCCACGCGAGCCACACTCTGGAGGACAGGCTGCTGCTGCGGACACCGCCCGTCGGCTTCGCGAGCAGCGCCATCGCCGACGCCGACACGTGGGGCAGACAGCCCGCGCCTGCGCTGCCCCTCGCCCACGAGGCATCGCCGCAGCAGCTGAAGAGGATTGTCAGGACGGCGCCGGCGCTGACGCATCCCGTGCGCAAGGTCGTCTTCAAGTTGCGGAGCTCGGATCAGGGCTGGGGCGGGGAGCGCGAGAACCACGGCACGTTCAAGGGCTCGTGGACGTGGTTCGAGGCCGGCCTGGAGAAGATCGAGGCCGAGGAAGGGGAGCAGCTGGATGCGTTTCGCACCGACCATCTGAGGCCGGTGTACCCGCGCACGGAGGAGGACCATCGCCAGTGGGGGAACGAGACACGAAAATATGTCCACCAGCTGAACGCGAACGAGGAGTACAAGATCCAGTGCAACCGTACCTGCACGCGGGGCGTCAGCAATTACGAGATCACTTGGAGGTGGACCGATAACATTGACCCAGAGTCGGCGGCGGCCGATGAGCTGGAGGCGCAGGGCCGCGGTAGGGCCACGGGGAATGGTGAGTTTGTGCGGAACCTGCAGTTGGGCGATGTCATCACGGTATGGGGCAAGTCAAGGTTTCCGGGCTGGGCGAACAACGTTGAGACGGTGGCGGTTGAAGTGTACTGGGCTATTTGACTCAACTGAAAGGAAGCGGGCGTTCCTGGGAGGCTGCATCATGGGACAGTATGCTTGATTGAT